GGTGGGAGTTGATGTGCTGGTAGCAGTTGCGGAAGCGACTTGGGAACTGGAGGAAGAGGCGGCAGCAGGAACGTAGTCATTTGGATTCAAATGACCGCAGTTGGCTGCTTCGTTTTGGGTGCAAAGCTTTTGGGCCGCAGCATCATTTTCACCTGCGGCAATGCAGTTGGAGAAAACTTGTTCACAGATGTAAGTTGGTAAGGTTTCTTGGTAGTATTGAAGACCTGGTGTGGATGAATTTGAAGCGCAGGTACAGGTGTAGTCCAAGTCGGTCTATCGCGAATCTCAAATCAGTATATGATAAAAGCTTGATAGCAAGCACCGAAATCAAGTGCAGTGCGGTGCAGATGAGTTACTTACAGTGTCACAGGTGTTGTCTTTGACAGCACCATTGCACAATGTACCGCAAGTATTGAGCTGGGCATTACACCATTGAGCTGTAATCGATTAATATCTATTATTCTATCAGAAGATAGATTCTAATGGTAATTACCTCTCAACGAAGGTGAAATTGAGTTTGGATCAATGGTAGCGTTGGAGCTGCTGCTTTGAGCTGCAACGAGAGCAACGATGCTGAGACCGACGATCGATTTGATAAACATCTTGAAGGCGAACTTTAGTTGCAGGGAGTAAACGAGTCAATTAATGATTATTCGAGAGGTTGGAGATGAGACGAGAGGAAAACTCTTTTGAAAGCCGGATGAAGCGATTCAGAGATTCGGAGAAGTTTTCTGACAATTGGAGATATTAATTGTTTGGAATTGGAAAAGATGAGGAAGGGAAGGAAGTTTGGAATTTTAGTAGAAAAGGTGAAGGTGGTTGGGGTACAGTATGTATTTGATTTTATCGTGAAAATGTATTGGCAATTTGGCAGTCAGTGGTTAAAGTCTGGCAAGGACCAATGGGAGGCAAAGATCAAAAATGAATGCTAGGGAACTAGAAAGAAAGCGGGAAGCAGTGACCAATTTAGTTAGAGCAAGTATTAATTGGAAAAGTGAGGACGAATCAATTGGACGGAAAATGGGAAAGAATTAGATTACTAACTGTGATAAGGTTAGCTCATCAATCTATCTGGACTTCCTCTACTAGCCTCCACCTCAATCCCTGTTACACACAGTACTAGCTTGAATGTTTTGGTACCTGGTGTACCAAATAGTTTGCCAAGCTTCTTCGTTTTTGACCAATCAACCAATGATTGGTAAGGAAGCATCTTGCAATTGATAATTTAAAAGAAACTCGTACCGGTAGAATGAAGTGGTATTGTTGTTGTTGTCGGTATTTGTCTCTCATATCAGACCTCCCTTCTCATCATCTCAAGCTCGCTGTCGCCAACATAAATAAGTATATCCTCTTTCGGTACCATCTCTGTACTCCGTAATACCGGAATAAAAGAAAAAGCTTTGGGTGATATGATACATACCTAACCCTCATTAAACCTTTTCTTGCTAAGTACTCTCCGTATGTATGTTTGTATTGGTCAGAAGAAAAACAAATGGAGTTTTAGATAGCTAAGTAATATCCGTGACCTGGCAAAAATGAAATTACCTCCTCAACCTTTTTCTTTTCCTCTTCCTCCCTTTCTCCCATCCTGCACACCTCTTCTTATCGGGTCGGGATTATGTCACCAAATACCTAATTCTTCCATGCTTATTCTTCCCATCACACCAAATTGTACCTGGCTTGGAAGCTAAAAAAGCTTGTTTATCTTCTTTATACAAGGATTTGAGCGATTAGTAGAATTTAGTACTTTTCACATGTGGTTAGTAAGTGGATGGGTGGATGGGTAGATGGAAAAATGAATATCCTCGACAATATTCCTACAATACCATTCATTTGTATGTGGTTTGTGCTTTGTGCATTTTATTGCTTATCAGAAATAATAAACAGAGAAATCGCCTCTAACAGAGTTTCTCTCATTTCCCCTCCATGGAAGTTTTTGATGACATTATTGTTTAATGTGAATGGAATGGATCAGTTCAATTGATGACGCTCCGCTTGGCCGCTGCCGTGGAGGCTTCTTCGCTTCGCTCTGGTAGAAGGGAAGGTTTCTTATTTCAAGTCTTACAGTTCTTACCGTCTACGATTGAAAATGATCCTTTACCCCTGTGGGCTGTAGCCAACCGGAGAGAAATATCACTTTCCTCGGCAATTTTTCCACCCAAGCCACGCTAAGACTAATTAGGTAAGATGAAAAACATACGCCCTCTTTGCGACAGTCATGTTACACTTTCTCGTCCACCCCGTTTCTAACATCCGAGATCTTAAGATATAATAAAGGTACAAAGGTACAACAAGACGCACAAAGGGAATAAATCGGCCACAATTAACCTTCTCTTGTCTCGTATTCGAGATGGTTAAATATATCTCCAACATCAAATAGGTAGGCGATGAATGGTATAATTGTCATCTGTTTCCGTCTACCTATTCCATACATCTAGTTACCCTAGTACTATCTATCTATACATTATGAAGCATTGCTTTCTCTTCGTTGAGCTCCACTCAGGCTTCACTCCAAGCCTCTACCGCAAAAGATGGTGCTCCCATCCATTTCTGACCAATCCCATTTCTCCTTTCTCTCTACATTGCCAACACCTAAAACTACATCCACCATCAATCAGACCAGCTGCATAACAACACCATTCATCTCGAACAATTGAATCAAAACTTCATTCAAGGTCTCAGACGACGCATTTACTTTTGGATCGAGTACAGTGTGTACTTACTGTACAAGTCAAGAAGAAGAGACACATTCGCTTCTCTGACAAATTAGGTTGATGGATGATTTCCATTCATTTGGTTACTTACCATTTTAGTTTCAACGGACTATTCTAGGGAATACAAAGCTTACCGAGTAGTAAGTACCTACTCTGTGAAGAATAACAACGGTACCGTACCTAGTGATTAACGATTAGCGACACGTTCTGTTCTTTCGGGACCGGGCATCTCCGGCTATCGGCTTAATTCCGTTTCACTTGTCGTCGATGGGTGAGTCAAAAATGTTTGGAACTTTTCACTCGCGGACTCAGTACGGGACGAGTTGTGCCAAGATCCACATGTGATCGACAAGCACATGATCACGATGTGGTTTTTGATTTCGATTCGGTTGAAGCTTTTTTGCCTCATTTTATTTCCCATTTGATCCTTTGAAATTGTTTTGCTTTTTGAGACTTCAAAGGTTCTTGTTCATGGTAATTTTCGTTCAAGTATCCGAGGACTTAACTTGTGTGTCTTTGAGTAAGAAATATTGAATTGAGAGATTCAAAATCAATTCATAGGAGGCGAGCCTCCTTATCAGTCAAGTTCAATTTCGAAGAGTAGTCTCTTGATGATCTATTCCAATATCTCTCAATCAGATTAAGTCTAGTACCCTACTTTTGGGCCACCCCTAATATGGGCCACCCTTTTATACCAAAAATGACGATTTTTATTTATTAATTATTCAACAATTAATGAATTAAATCAATTGAAATTTTAATTATAGAATCATTATATAATTATAAATAAATCCTGAAAATTTCAGATTTTTTATAATTTTATTGATTGAGATATTAATGATTAAAATTGTTAAAAGGAATGACCTTACACAGTGTTACGACGGCGTAACATAACCCGCATCAGGTAACCAATTAGTTAGCAGGATCATGTGACAAGTGTCATCTGATCCGAAAGCCGACCGACTCCCTGAGAATCGATCGGCCCTTCAAGAGTCGATCGACTTTCAGAACACGAAGGTCTATATAATCAAGATGGATTTCCTTTGTATAGAGCTTCGTGCTCAAGATCAATCATTTAGTATACTCTACTATTAGTTACGAATTGCATATCATTATGGTCATTACTTAAGTCCCTGCTTGACGCCTAGTTATAAACCACCTCGAGAGCCTAGAGCACTTCCATGTGATCTAGACGGCAAACCTCGTAACAGATTAGTGGTAGCCGAGAAGTAGGGTACTAGACTTACCTGTCTAAATGCCTACTAGGGTTTTCAACCACAACTTATTACCCTCGTTTGACGAGTTTGTCGGACTGTGTGCTAAATTCTCGGATCTTCATTTGAATAGGAATAGAATATAGGATACTATTGCTACTGTCCTAGGGAATCATATTATGTGATCTTTAATGCGATGTGGAGGATGGCTTCCGTATTCGATGTTCCACACCAACAAAAGATGTCAGATTCAAAAGCTTGTTTGTTTTAACTACCGATCCTTGATCGCCCCGGTCTTGATGTCCGGACGATTTTACTGATGCATAGACCTCTTCAGTATTCGTTATCTTTATGATACAGTTACAGATTTTCTGTCTTTACATACGTCAATTGATCTTTGTTAATCATCATTTTAGTCGAGTAAATTTCAATATCTTAATTGCTCTGAGCAAGGTATATACATACATTATTCATAATCTTGACCTCTTCAAAACCCTAGCATGATGATTCGGACCTCCGATCCTACCATACAAGTTACTCCGCCTTCACCAACAAAAATTGACGACGACAATAAAAAGCATGGGAAGGAAATCAATTGTACTGATGAATCAACGTATACTATCGAGGGTCATGAGGAAACGAAACGACAATTTTCTATCATGATAGAAAAGGGTTTTGCAAAATTTTGTTGGTTGATTGCTTACACCCCAAAGAGATGTCGATATGATCCGGAATCTCCACCAAAATTCAATATGGCTTTGAATTTATTGTTCGCATTTGTGAGTTGCATCTTTCTCGTGGTGATAGCTGGGAACTTTTGAAGAGTTTGGTTTTTTTTACATGAGATTTCACTATAGTTTACATGCAATAGCAGTGATTTCTACCTCAAGTATCCTCTCATATCTCAGAATAAGAAACAAAAACATATTCCTCACTCATCAAATAACTTTTGCTAATAAATATTACTCAGGCTTGTACCTTCACGGTAGCAAATCTCTACTACAGCCATCCTATTCTCAATATTCTAGCTGAAGAATTCAATGTTTCAAATGAACGTGCATCGATCATTCCAACAGTCATGCAAGCAGGCTATGCAGCTGGACTTTTATTTATTTGTCCTCTGGGCGATATCTACAAAAGACGGAATTTCGTATTAATATTGATATTTTGTACTGCTACAATGGTTAGTCATTTAACTTACATATTAACTGGAGGATTTTTCCAGAGGAAAGAAGCATGTACTAATATTTGGAATATAACAGTGGTTGGGACTGTGTCTCACTGATTCCTTTCCGGTCTTTGTGGGGATATCTTTTGTGGCTGCTCTTACTACTGTTACTCCACAACTTATGCTGCCGTTGGTGGGAGATTTGGCACCATCGGATCGTCGAGCTACTTGTCTCGCTATTGTTTCTTCAGGTTTACTTCTTGGTTTACTTATTGCTCGGTTACTGTCTGGTATTCTAACTCAGAATACTACGTGGCGAACAATTTACGTAAGATCCTCTTCTCCTTCTACTCTCAAAATCCCACTAAAATTATAATATAATATATGCAGTGGTTTGCCTTAAGCCTCCAATATCTACTCTTCACCCTCCTCTACCTCTTCATGCCCGATTACCCCAGCACCAACCCAGGCACCTTCAACTATCTCTCCCACCTCCACAGTATGCTCCACCTCTTCCTCACCCAACCCATCCTAATCCAAGCCTCCCTCATCGGCCTCAGCACCTCCGCCCTCTTCACAACCTACTGGACAACCCTAACATTCCTCCTCTCTTCCCCCCCATACTCCCTTCCCCCCATCCCAATAAGTCTCTTCTCGCTCCTCGGCATCCTAACCCTCCTCCTCTCCCCCCTCTCCTCCCACTTGCTCATCAACAAACATCCCCCCCTCTACAGCAGCATTCTCGGTCTCCTCTCCTGTCTCCTCGCTCTCACCATCGGCTTCGCCGCAAATTCCACACTCGCAACTCCCATCCTCCAAGCCATCTTCCTCGATCTCGGTATCAATATCTCCATGATTGCGAATCGTTGCGCGGTTTATAGTATTGATCAGAAGATGCGTAATAGGATTAATACGGTTTATATGACCTGGGTTTTTGTGGGTCAGTTGCTGGGTACGTGGCTTGGGAATAGATTGTTTGAGCGGTTTGGGTGGAGGGGGAGTTCGGGGGTGGGTAGTGTGTTTGGGTTGTTGGGGTTGGGGTGTGCGGTGGTGAGGGGGCCGTGGGAGAGGGGATGGGTGGGTTGGGGTGGTGGCTGGGGGGTTAGGAGAAAGGTTTTGGATGGGGAGGTGCCGGATACTGGCGGGGTGGAGGATGGGTTGCCCGATGGGGAAATAGAGGCAGGAGGGCAAAAAGTGAGCCTGGGTGTTGGGGGGGAAGAGAAAGAAAGACATATTACATCTTTACAAGGTGGAAGTAATCATGGTACATGATCGAATGATGACTCGGTACCCAACTCACAACATTGAATTTATAAGTATTTTTTTTTCCAAAATTTGGAATTGAAGTCGAGTGGATATGAGGGTTCGGGAGAATTCAATATCAAATCCACACGCCGAACTAAGACATATATCTCGGATAGTGCGGAATTGAAAATAGTTAGAAAGTAAAAGTAACGGTTTGTGTTTTGCGTCTTTGTGAAGGGTATGAATGATATATTTGACATAAATAATATAAATAATATGTTAAAAGGAATGACCTTACACAGGGAATAGTGGGAAGCTGATAGGGCAGAACTGAGGTAATATTGGTCTAGTGTATTAATCACTCTTTTTCTAAGTTCTATGGAAGTGCGAAGCTCTCCTACAGAGAGCTTCTCAATCTAGTCCTAACAGGACTAGTGCCCTGTGCACGTGCTACGCAGGAACCATTCACTTTAACATAATATAATATATTGATTGATTAAACGTAATAAAATATATAAAACTCAGAATAAAATAGAAAAGGAAAGTATAATTGAAAAATCTTTGTAATTATTATATAAATAAAATCTGAAATTATTTCTATTATGATGTGACGGAAATCCCTGCTTTCCTCCCACCCTTATTATATAAGAAACCTCAGGTACATTAACCATGTCCACACATGATACGATTACTCGAGATTAGTATGCGATTTAGGTGACCTGAGGATCAGATCCGGACAAGTACTAGGTATCAATGGTTATCGGTAAAGTAAGATCATTGGAGGAATAAATATGACTTCTTTTTGCCTAGCCATTGCGGCTAGGCCATTCATTTGTGTATATATAGAGTAGCTATCCCCATCTACAGGTGCTCTTCACCTGTAGATTCTAAGTTAAATACAATTGCTGGTCTATAAACACCCTTTTGGTCACATATGATTACAATTTCATTATTATTTTAATTATAAAAATTGTTAATTTTTGTAAAGATAGTTTATCAGATTTTTATTATATAAATTGTTAAAGTGAATGGTTCCTGTGTAGCACGTGCACAGGGCACTAGTCCTATTAGGACTAGATTGAGAAGCTCTCTGTAGGAGAGCTTCGCACTTCTGTAGAACTTGGAGAATGAGTGATTCATATACAAGACCAATATAGCCTCAGTTCTGCCCTATCAGCTTCCTACTATTCCCTGTGTAAGGTCATTCCTTTTAACATATTATATAATATCATTTATCTTTTTTTATTCGGAATAAAATAAATCTGATTTTTTTAAAGGATAGGTAGGATGAGGATATTTATGAAATTTACAGGATATAGGGCCTTTATCCTGGCCCTAGGATAGGATGGGAGAGGGTGAGGATGGGAGATTTGAACCGCTGTTCCATAATTTCAACGCCCATCCTTGCCCATTGAGCCCCTTGACCAGTGAAAATAAAAGTAAAAGTCGGTTCGAAGTTTGTGTTTGTGCGGACTGGACTGGAAATAGCCTGCTTAATGTTTTGAAGTTTATCGAGAGAGTCAAACATACCATAACACTTCCAAGATAGTGTGTGTGTTAAGCTTTCCCAGTATTCGTTTGAAAACGAACCGAGGTTTGATTTAATAAAATAAAGACTGTATGCTTTAGCAATGCGGTTAAGTTCCTCTTCATCTGCAGAAGAGAAGACAAGGAGCTTCTTGGCCGAAGGCCGTTCATGAACAATTTTTACTGGGATAGCTGCTTTACGATGTCCCTCTAAATTTCCGGTGTGGAATCCTGTTGCTGTTGTTGCAGAAAAGATTGCGGCGATACACTTGGGACGGTGATATGCTCTCCTTTCAGTTCATGGTCTCGAAGATAGTGATATACATCCTCAAGGATGACATGAGCATTGCTACCCTGAAAGTGAAGGAGTTCACAGACGCTATACGCGGAACACTGTTTGGCCAGGCTGTTGGACAAGTAGGAAACTACCGACAAATTCAGCTCGACTGACTGTTATTATTCATGATTGTGTGTAGAACCTACCTTAATCTTCAGGTACTCCGCATCAATAGCCATGTTTTACTTCTCAAAATTTGCGTTTGGTGGTGTGATAACACGCTCGAGTATCAATACCATTTTTTATTAGGCCTGCAAGACCACTCGCGCCGCCCAAGTGGCCGATGTTTGATTTGACAGCACCTCTGATCAAATCTATTAGTATCAAGTCTCAGACTGACAGGCCCATGTTTCAAATGATTACAATGATAATGTATTGAGTATTGTTGCTTACACAATAAGAAGGTCATCGGCACTACGAATCTCCCGGAACACCTTGCCGATCGCATTGACTTCTATCGGGTCTTTTTCCTCAGCTTGATTATAGTCCCAAAATTATTCTACTCTAGGGCTTTCTTAACTTACCACCGGTAGGGGTTCAAGTCCCGTGAGCTTCGATGTATGATGCAGAAGATGGACGCAAGCCCGCTTTCTATAGGTTTCTCTAATGAGGGTCTCATGTGCATCTCCACTTGGTTGTGTAACAGGTTGAGTTTGACCATCTTAATTGGTCCTGTAGCTCGAATCACTGCACGTATTGTATCCCTTGCATCTATCACTGCGGCAAGACTTTTGAAGACGATGACTGCAAACCCTTCTCCCCTTACGTATCCTTTGGAGCGATCATCAAAACTATGACATCTACTGTCAATAGAGAGCATGTTCATGATTTACAAGAGGTGCAGTACATCTAGAGAATACATCAAATTTCAAGCACCTACAATGGCCTTATATTCTAGTCAGTAAGCCTCAAGCTGCAGCGCAAAGGGAAAGAACCAAAGTAAGGTAGAAATTTACATGCCATTTCTGCTTCTCCCAGAAATAGATCTCTGCAAGCCATATCAAGAGAAACCAAACTGCTCGAGCAAGCAGTGTCAATATTGGCACTTGCCTCTTGAAAATTGAAAAACCAACTGATCCTATTTGCACACATTGACAATCCCGCTACACCAGTAGCTGCATAGCTGTGCCACTGATCAGGATCTTTTGCATACATATCTCTCCAGTCTGTTGTAAAGCATCTAGTATACACAGAAGACTTTGAACCTACGACCATTTCCAAAGATAGACCCGCTAGCGATTGATTAGCGTGAACCTGGCATTTAGCCATGTTCTATGAAGGGCTCACCATTCTCCAGAGCTCGATATGTGGTCTCGAGAAGACCTCGCTGTAAATGATCCATATCCCTCGCTTCTTGAGCTGAAATTGAGAAGAAAGGGGCATCGAAGCCAGCAATAGAACCGTCGAGGAAGTGGCCTCCACGGAAAGGAAGCTATTTATGTGTTAGTGCGATTTTGAATAACGCCTGGTTAAGAAAATACCGAGTCCTGTCTCGCTAGATCTAAATGGTAAAACGATGAAATATTTAATCGAGATTGCGGGAAGTCCTCCGAAGCACAGCGAGCCTGCATTAGCATATACCAAAATCCATCACTTGAATGTGCATCTTGTGGAAACGCAAAAGATATGCCGATAATTGCCGTGGGATTAAGCAAAAAAGGGCCACTTGAAGGTAGATTCATTACTGGCTGTGTGGCACTTGCGTTTTGAACCGAGTCTTCAGAGGAGTGTGAGTCATTGCCGTTTACTTGAACATCTATAGAGGCGTAGGAAGCCATGTGTGAACCTGGCCCAGGGCGTCAATGGCAGTGATAATTTAGGACCTTAAAACTTCCACTCATATTTGCATGATGCAAGTGGGATATAAAATAGTATTTCTGAAGAGTCTCCCACAAGATTCCCATCTGAGACTTCAGTTGGCCCGCTGCGGACTTGGTGGTAAACAATCATGTGACGGCGAGGGATAAGCAGCAGTCCAAGGACAAATAGAGCTCTGACCAGGTACAAATCTAGTGACAGCTATACCCGGGAAAATCGAAGAAACCTTGATGTTCGCGATTTCGGCACTGACACGGAACACAAGGATTCTCTCGCCACTACAGTGCATGATATGAAGATGCAGGCTTTCGATGTCTGTGGAGTAGAACCGTACCCGCCCGTACCACACCAACCTGTGCGCTTGTTTTTTGCGCTTTTGACAATCTTGAGTCCTGCATGAGGCGCTCTGAAGTTAGCAGCCACTTCAGAACTGGTGTGGATAAGGAGAAGAATTTTCCTATTGAAATGACAGGAGAACAGGAGTGATAATCAGAAATGGCGTCTACTCGGTCAAGAAAGCGCATAACAATTTTCGGGGTATATCATGCCACTTAGGTTAGGGTGTGGCTTTTTCAAGTAAAATTTGCACCCCCCCTTTCCTTGGACGAATCCTTCTGTCTGGATTAATTGTGCGGCCATTCTAAAGATTCGATGCCGTTGTTGAACAATGTCAGTGGTTAAATTTATTCACGTGCCACAATGTAAGATTATGTCTGAGCATCCAATGGAAGAACCACAGCTTGGAAAACCGACACCATGAAACAATCTCTGGTATGCACAAACTATGTAAATTGTTGGTCCATAATTAGATTCACACTTGATATTTTTTTTTAGACCAGATTAGACACGAATCATAGTGCGAGAGGGCAAATTATTTGACAAGAACGATCTCAGCTTTCGCACTATGATAATGGAAATAATGATACTAAGACAAATCAGAACTTAAATATAAAATAAACTCAAATGAATATAGTGACGGTCCGCTTACTACTTAGAATAAATAGTATAGTTAATAAATGATTAATTATACTCTTTTGAAAAACCTGATTCAAGTCATATAATACATTAATAAAATTGTGATTTAATAATCATTTATTGATAAATTTAAAAGACACCAATTAAAATTCAAAGATATTAATAAATAATTATAAAGAGTTTAAAAATGACTTAAAAATAATTTTATATTTTGAAGTTTAAAAATAACTTTAAATTTTAAATTTAAATATAATAAGTTTATTATTAAAATTTGTTAAAGTGAATGGTTCCTGCGTAGCACGTGCACAAGGCACTAGTCCTAATAGGACTAGTCCTATTAGGACTAGTGC